AGCAGAACCCTTATAGTTATCACGTTCGTTGAATACAGGATTGGACCAAGGTGCAGCATGGAATGCATACATGTTTATTAACTAAGTAAACACACAACAAAAGCAACGTAACGTGAAGCTCACAATGGCTACACACAAACAAGAGTCAAGATCCCACAACATAGGTAGTGTCACGCCCTGGCTCTGGGGACTCTTTAATGTTGAGCCAGGGTGTGTAGGTTTATTGTTTAGTTTTCTATGTGTTTGTGTTCTAGTTCGTGTATTTCTATGTTGGCCAGGGTGGTTCCCAATCAGAGGCAGCTGTAGCTTGTTGTCTCTGATTGGGGACCATACTTAGGCAGCCTGTTGGCACATGTTTATTGTGGGATCTTGTTCCGTATGGTTTGTTTTGGTGTTAACCTAGGACTTCACGTATCGTTTGGTTTGTTGTTTTGGTTCGTGTTGTGTACTGCAATAAAAGTATGTACGCCTATAACGCTGCGCCTTGGTCCGCTTCTTATAACGATCGAGACAGAAGATCCCACCATAAAAGGACCAAGCAGCGTGCCCAGGAGGAGAAGCTGGCGATGGCTCAGGTGGGCGAATGGTGGTCATGGGAGGACATATTCGCGGGCAGAGGGCCCTGGGCAAAGGTACAGGCCCTGGCAAGAGAGGAGAAACGGCACCAACCGTGCCGACGACGGACACGCGAGAGGCAACCCCAATACATTTTGGTGGGGGGGGGGCACACGGCATGGACGACGGGGCTGCTGGAGGCAGCTACACGGCGCATCGGTGATTTAGGAGAGGAGGCCACCAGGTTTGGGGGGCTGGAAGGGTGGTTGGCGGAGCCTAGAGGTAGAGCAGAGCCAACTCCCCGTACTCAGGCTAGGCAGCGTGAGACTGGGCAGGTTCCGAGTCATGCGGAGCTACGTACTGTGCCGCGAGTGTTCCGGCACAGTCCTGTACGTCCTGTGCTAGCACCACGCACGTGTCGTGCTAAGGTGGGCATGCAGCCAGGACGGAGTGTGCCGGCTCAACGCTCGTGGCCTCCAGTACCCCTCCTCGGTCCCGGATATCCTGCGCCAGTGCCACGTGCTGTAGTGTCAGTACGAGTGCACAGCCCTGTACATCCTGTGCTGATGCCTCACACAGTGTGTGTGGAAATAGGCATTCAGCCAGGACGGGTTGTGTCAGCTCTCCGTTCCAGACCTCCAGTCCGTCTCCACAGTCCAGCCCGGCCTGTTCCTGTCCCTCGCACCAAGCCTGTGGTGCGCGTTGCCAGCCCGGTCCGGCCTGTTCCTGCTCCCCGCACAAAGGCAGTGGTGCGCGTCGCCAGCCCGGTCCGGCCTGTTCCTGCTCCCCGCACCAAGCCAGTGGTGCACGTCGTCAGCCCGGTCCGGCCCGTTCCTGTCCCCTGCACCAAGCCTGTGGTGCGCGTCGTCGGTCCGGCCCGTTCCTGTCCCCTGCACCAAGCCTGTGGTGCGCGTCGCCAGCCCGGTCCGGCCTGTTCCTGCTCCCCGCACCAAGCGAGTGGTGCGCGTCGTCAGCCCGGTCCGGCCCGTTCCTGCTCCCCGCACCAAGCCAGAGGTGCGCGTCTCCAGGCCGGTCCGGCCTGTTCCTGCTCCCAGCACCAAGCCAGTGGTGCGCGTCGTCAGTCCGGCACGGCCCGTGCCTGTTCCACCGGTGCCTGGTCCGGCACCGGTCAGCTGCTCCACTCTGGAGCCAGAGCATTCCACTCTGAGTGGTGGTCACGCCGCCGAGGCGGAATGCCCACCCGGCCCCTCCCCTGTTGTGTTTGGTTGGCGCGGTCGCAGTCCGCGCCTTCGGGGGGGGGGGGGGGGGGGGGGTACTGTCACGCCCTGGCTCTGGGGACTCTTGAATGTTGAGCCAGGGTGTGTAGGTTTATTGTTTAGTTTTCTATGTGTTTGTGTTCTAGTTTGTGTATTTCTATGTTGGCCAGGGTGGTTCCCAATCAGAGGCAGCTGTAGCTTGTTGTCTCTGATTGGGGACCATACTTAGGCAGCCTGTTGGCACATGTTTATTGTGGGATCTTGTTCCGTATGGTTTGTTTTGGTGTTAACCTAGGACTTCACGTATCATTTGGTTTGTTGTTTTGGTTCGTGTGAGTACACTAAATAAAAGTATGTACGCCTATCACGCTGCGCCTTGGTCCGCTTCTTATAACGATCGTGACAGGTAGGCAAAATGGCTACCTAAGTATGATCCCCAATCAGATCGACAGCTGCCTCTGATTGGGAACCACACCCGGCCTACAATCTAGATCTACAGATAGATACCTTGATATTCACATGAAAACCTCTATCATTCACACCCTGACCAACCTAACTAAAGAATAACAGGCTTTCAAGGTAGTCACTTTCGATCATGTCAGTTTTTTCACAAAAGACTCCCCTCAGCTCCTGTACAATGTCTGTCTGTATGTTCATGTTTAAATGGTGTAAGGTGATTAAAAAACACCTTATGTTACAGCGGGGACTGTGAAGCAACACAAACAAAGGTACAATAACATACGCACTATACACACACGTACACATGGATGTTGTACTGTAGATATGTGGTAGTGGTGGAGTACGGGCCTGAGGGCACACATTGTGTTGTGAAATCTGTCAATGTATTGTAATGTTTTTCAAATTTATGAACTGCCTTAATTTTGCTGGACCCCAGGAAGAGTAGCTGCTGCCTTGGCAGCAGCTAATGGGGATTCATAATAAATACAAATACTACATGCATCTAAAGGAACATTTTAGATTTTTTATCTTAACCCCTCTTGCTTCTGCTTCACTGGTTTTTGATTATTCTTTTCCTGTCCACTTCAAGTCCTAAGAGATTTATATATTTCTTTACCCTTTCAATTTATGTACAAAGGTTGTGATTTAGTAAAAAGTGGCAGATACGAAGGATTCAAAATGATTGAACTAATCAGAAATTAACTTATATTAAGTGTGCAGACAGTTTTCTTTTAAAGCTACAATACATCACTTTTTGGGCGACCCGACCAAATTCACATAGAAATGTGAGTTATAGGTCTTTCATTCTGTAGATCTGTTCTACGTGTGCTATTTCTATGCGTCCCGTTCTGAAGTTTTGTTTTTGCATCTTTTACTTTCAGTTATGTACACCAGCTGAATATACAATATTTTTGTTATGGAAAATATATTTCACAGCGGTTTAGATGGTACAATGATTCTCTACACAATGACTGCTTGTTTTGTCACAAACTGAAATTAGGCAAACTTTTAGAATTTTAGCAAACAGGATTTCTGCATAGTGCATCTTTAAAGTAGCTTTTACTATGTAAATGCACTTTTATGATAGTACATTTACAGTTTGTTTTTTTCAGTTTAGTTTCATTTTCAACAATAGATTTTCATTTTTATTTCATTTAAATCTACACAAAAAGTCTGGGTTTGACACAAATGACTCCTTTGGTGGCTCACTTTGGTGATGGTGTAGATCAAGTACACGTATACCCTTTTCACACTATCGTGCCGACCCAAACCGTACGGTGCTGCCTTGGATATTGTATTTTCCCATTGTTCAGCATTGTTCCTGCAACTGATCATTTGTAACCAGGTCAGCACAGCACAGTTCAGCTCGGCTCAGGTGTGTGAAAAGGTTAACATCCACCGCTTGGTAAGGCTGACAATTACGCTGCACTACTTGTCGACAAGTCAGGAAATAAAACATTGGTTCATATCTGACTTAAAAACCACGAGCCCATGGTTGTATGCATAGAGATTTGATAATTTATGTTTGAGCTCTATTGTTGTATGTGTGATGTGTAACACAGACCCTAGCAATGATATCCCACCCACAGAGCTCCGCTGAGAGAAAAGAGCAGCAACCTCCATATCACTGGATGAGGTGAACAATTGAACAACCTGAATCAGCTGTAATTCTAACACGTGAATACAAAACTCCCATACAGGCATGGTATAGCTCACACGCGCACGCACACACAGAGAGAGACAAAAGAGAGGCTTGTTTCATCCTGGTAGTTTTATTTGGTTGGTGGTGAAGCAAATCGGATCGTAAGTACATCCAGCTGCCCTGACAAGCACAGTACAGTGCCTTAGTTCCAGTTCAGCTCATAATAACTGTATAGGCCATCATCGCAGTACCGTCACAGCGGAGTTTGGGCCACTGAGGCTTCCGTCCAAAGCCACATGGAGAGACTGAGTTTGAGAAATCATCATTAACGATGACAAAACTGAGCAGACGTTTAGGGTGCACAGAAGCGCACAGAACACTGGTGACAAGCAGGATTGTCACCGTCACCATCAGTTACTTACAGGTCAAGTTTGAACTCAAAACATAACATTGGAAGTGCCATCAGATTTTTTTTTTTATGTGAGTGCCCAGACAATTTCAATAAGTTCTCTGTTTATAACGCTTTTTGTTATTGACATGCAAAACAGCAGGTACAGTGCAATTGACAGTGTGTTCAAACCCAGTGCCTTTCTTCAGACTTGGTCCTAGTGTTACTGCCTACCGATACCAATGGAACTCACCTTTCATTGAGAGAGACTCGCATTGGTGCACTTACGGTTAGTTTTGCAACTGAATGGCTCTGGTCAACTCTAGCACACACTAAACAAAGAGTGCAATGGTGGAAATCAACCTGCTCACAATTTCAATCAGTTGAAGACTTTCTAAAACATTAATAGCAAAGGAGTGTGAGGAAGACGAGAAACATCTATGACATAGTACAAACCAACACATTCATATCTAGCAACAGCAAAATGACTCCTCCAAATTCTACATCATACCAATCAAGTAGCTACTTCTGCCACCCAAAATAATCATTTTTATCAGAGGCCAAACCGAGCTCCCATTGGCTTCTCAACAAAGTTACTGTACACAATTGATCCCGCCTATAGATATTTAAAAGGCTTCATTTGTACCATCACTAGTAAGAATATAGGGGAGTACAGGAACGGGTATACAGAAGGTGGGATTGGGGGTAGGGGATGTTACGGAAGGGCACTGAGGGCTCTTTACAAGGTGAGCTCTTTCTGCACGCCCCAGAGGGTCTCGGCGCTGTTGATCAGTTGCTTCTCCTCCTCGGGCTTCAGAGTCATGTGGATGACGTCGGTCAGACCGCTGTTGCCCAGTACGCAGGGCACGCTGAGAAACACCTCATCCTTCACACCGTGCATTCCCTGAGATAGGGAGGGGGATGGATGGCGGCAAGGAGAGAGAAACTGGTTAGGGACCGAACACAGCTGGAGTGTTGGTTTGGGTGTGGTGGGGGGGAGGGGCATGTGTGTACATGAGGGGTAGGTAGGTGTGTGTAAGTGTGTATTAGCGTGTGTGTGCCAACTTAATCCTTACATCTTCAGTCATAGCAAGCATTAGGTACAGTATATAATTTAGCATATAGTTTGCATGTCGGCTTGAGACTATAAAAAAAAAAAAACATTCAAAGAAATACTCCACTCCTAGTCTACAACCACACACAATGATAGAGGACGCAACCTTGCATCTGTCCCAATTTGGCAGATGGACTCCCAGCATATGGTCTTCTTACCTTGACCAGGGTGGACACGGGGTGGACTTTGTGGAGGTTTTTCAGGATGCTCTCAACCAGGTCAGCGACGGACATGCCGATAGCCCAGGAGGTGTAACCTTTCAACTTGATGACCTCATAGGCACTATATGAAATAGAAAGAAACGAGGAGAGGAGTTAGAGGGGAACATCCAAGATACAAACATACACTACATGACCAAAAGTATGTGGACACCTGCTCGTCGAACATTTCGTTCCAAAATCATGGCCTTTAATATGGAGTTGGTCCCCCCTTTGCTGCTATAAAAGCCTCCACTTATTTGGGAAGGCTTCCACTAGATGTTGGAACATTGCTGCGGGGACTTGCTTCCATTCAGCCACAAGAGCATTAGTGATGTCAAGCACTGATGTTGGGCGATTAGGCCTGGCTCGCAGTCGGCATTCCAACTCATCGCAAAGGTGTTCGATGGGGTTGAGGTCAGGGCTCTATGCAGGCCATTCAAGTTCTTCCACACCGATCTCGACAAACCATTGCTGTATGGACCTCGCTTTGTGCACGGGGGCATTGTCATGCTGAAACAGGAAAGGGCCTTCCCCAAACTGTTGCCACAAAGTTGGAAGCACAGTATCGTCTAGAATGTCATTGTATGCTGTAGCATTAAGATTTCCCTTCACTGAAACTAAGGGGCCTAGCCCAAACCATGAAAAACAGCTCCAGACCATTATTCCATCTGGGCAGGTAGCGTTCTCTTGGCATCCGCCAAACCCAGATTCGTCCATCGGACTGCCAGATGGTGAAGCGTGATTCATCACTCCAGAGAATGTGTTTCCACTGCTCCAGTGAGTCCAATGGCGGCGAGCTTTACACAGCTCCAGCCGACGCTTGGCATTGCGCATTGTGATCTTAGGCTTGTGTGCGGCTACTCGGACATGGAAACCCATTTCATGAAGCTCCCGACGAACAGTTCTTGTCTTGACGTTGCTTCCAGAGGCAGTTTGGAACTCGGTAGTGAGTGTTGCAACCGAGGACAGATTATTTTTACGCGCTACGCGCTTCAGCACTCGGTGGTCCCGTCTGTGAGCTTGTGTGGCCTACTACTTCGTGGCTGAGCCATTGTTGTTCTTAGACGTTTCCACTTCACAATAACAGCACTTACAGTTGACCGGGGCAGCTCTAGCAGGGCAGAAATTTGACGAACTGACTTTTTGGAAAGGTGGCATCCTATGACGGTGCCACATTGAAAGTCACTGAGCTCTTCAGTAAGGCCATTATACTGCCAATGTTTGTCAATGGAGATTGCATGGCTGTGTGCTCGATTTTATACCCCTGTCAGCAACGGGTGTGGCTGAAATAGCCGAAGCCACTAATTTGAAGGGGTGTCCACATACTTTTGTATATATAGTGTATATTACACATACAAATACCTTTAAACACATATATATAACATATGTGTAACCTTCATAACAACTTTATACACACACCTTTAACCTACACCTCTAACTTAACACCATTGTACACACCTCTTTAACCTATAAGGTTGGTAAAACATTTAAAACAACCGTCAGGTAGCTTAGTGGTTAAGAGCGTTGTGCCAGTAACCGAAAGGTCGCTGGTTCTAATCCCCGAGCCGACTAGGTGAAAAATCTGTCGATGTGCCCTTGAGCAAGGCACTTAACCCTAATTGCTCCTGTAAGTCGCTCTGGATAAGAGCGTCTGCTAAATAATGTAAATGTAAAAAAGGTATAATTTCATAGGAAATGTGGGTTGTTTTTCCTATTGTAAATGTTAAAAACCATTAGCGGAAAATATACACTAAGTATACCAAACATTAGGAACACATTCCTAATATTGAGTTGCACCTCCCTTCGTTTGCCCTCAAAACAGCCTCAATTCGTCGGGGCATGGACTCTACAAGGTGTTGAAAGCATTCCACAGGGATGCTGGCCCATACTGACTCCAATGCTTCTCACCCACAGTTGTGTCAAGTTGGCTGGATGTCCTTTGGGTGGTGGACCATTCTTGATACAGATGGGAAACTGTTGAGGGTGGAAAACCCAGCAGTGTTGCAGTTCTTGACACAAGCCGGTGCGCCTGACATTTTTTGTCTTACCCATTCAACCTCTGAATGGCACACATACACTGATTAAAGTAGAATTAACAAGTGACATCAATAAGGAATCATAGCTTTTACTTGAATTCACCTGGTCAGTCTATGTCATGGAAAGAGCAGTGTAGTGTTCTTAATGTTTTGTATATTCAGTGTATTTTGAAAACAGCAAATGCCATTAAAGTAGTTATAAAGTGGGTTGTGAATTACTTGTAAAAACATGTAATTAATGGTAATACCATTACAGTCTTCTGCATTCCATAACAACAAGTAAACTGCTTTAGTCAATGGTGTAGTCAGTGCTTACTGTGTTAGTCCAGCATGTTTTCCAAATTCCTTCCTCATTACTCCAAACTCCATTGGATTTTATTAGGCCTGTAGTAATTTTTACTCTACCTCCACCATTGCGTTAATGATTCATGGAGTATAGACTGATTCATTTGGAGTCAAACTCTAGGCACCACTTTCCAGATTAAGCCTAATCCTGGACTAAAAAGCTATTTTAGTGGAGATTCACCATTGAGTACGCTTTTTAGTCCAGGACTAGGCTATGTCCATGAAACCGGTCCTAAAAGCAGAGTATTTCCAAGTATGACAGGCTACAAGTTCACTACAACAGGTTTCTAATTATATAAATAGTATCGTCATGTGCTACAGTAGTCGCTGAGCTCTGCTTTACCCAAGCATTGCTAGCACTGGGTTGTGTTCATTAGGCATGAAATGCAAGAAAACGCGTCGAAACTGAGTGAGTACTATCTGAATGGAGTACTATCTGAACTTCTCCAATAAGTAATGCTTGTTTTCCATTGCAAAATGTTTTAAAAGGGTGCGCTCTGAGTTGAACAGATAGCAATGTGTGTTTATAAGACTCACCCGTCGACCACCATCTTGTGGACGTGCTTCCAGTCCTCTTTGTCTGCGTCTGTGCCCATGTCTGGGTTCAGGCCCTTCAGGGAAACACCAGCAACATTCACGCCGCTCCATACGGGCACTGAGAGAAAGAGAAGAGACAGTCATCCAGTCAGTTACCTGTCTGTCATAGATACAGTACCAATGTACGTGAAGGTTTTCCACAATATTGTAATCAAACAGACAGGTTCCGGAGTGGAGTGTATTTGAAGCCATAGCCTACATACCGCTGGAGTCTCCGTGCTCTCCAATGATCCAGCCGTGGCAGCTGGAGGGGTGAAGGTGTAGCTTCTCGCCCATCAGGTGGCGGAAACGACCGGAGTCCAGGTTGGTGCCGGAGCCGATGACGCGGTGACGGGGGAAACCACTCAGCTTCCAAGCCACATAGGTTAGGATGTCAACTGGGATGGGGGGAGAAGGGTGGTGACAAATATTAGCACATCTGAGTTAACAAAACAAACCCTAACCTTTACCCTATCCTTAACCATACCCCTAACATTAGCCTAACCTTAAATTACATGTTTTCTTTGTAGAAATGTTCACTATATAGCCTATATTGACTTTGCAGATTGGGCATACGGTGGGGACTGAAAGGGAGGGTAGGAGGGGTGAAGGGGGGTGACACATTTTGTCAGAGATGTCAGCAATATGACCATAGAGTTGTTCCAGCCCAGCACTAATATTATTCAAACATATCAATGACTTAGCACAATGCTAGAGTGATGATCAATTTACTGGACCATGTTGAACCGAATTACCTTCACTTCCAATTTTCTCTTTATCGTACTATCCATCTGTCTACCTTCCTTTTCTATTGCTCTCTCTCTTTCATCCATCCATCTCTCTCTCTCTCTCTCTCTCTCTCTCTCTCTCTCTCTCTCTCTCTCTCTCTCTCTCTCTCTCTCTCTCTCTCTCACTCCTTCTCCATTATCCCTCTCTCTCTCTCTCTCTCTCTCTCTCGCTCTCTCACTCCTTCTCCATTATCCCTCTCTCCTCTCGTACCAGGATTGGAGACGACCAGCAGGATGGCGTTGGGGCTGTACTTGACGATCTGGGGGATTATGAATTTGAAGATGTTGACGTTGCGCTGCACCAGGTTCAGACGGCTCTCGCCTTCTTGCTGACGAGCACCGGCGGTGATCACCACCACCTTGGAGTGGGCGGTCGTACTGTAGTCTTGAGTGTGATATAAGATGCACGTTAAACACACACAAATGCAACCTAGTGTTCCGAGCACCCCCACAACAAATAAGGGTGTGTGTGTGTGTGTGTGTGTGTGTGTGTGTTTGGTGTGTGTGTGTTTGTGTGTGTGTGCCTTTGTGTATTTGTGTGTCTGCTCAACTTGTGCGGGCATGTGTATGTTTGTGTGTGTGCACAACTCGTTTGTGCGTATGTGTGTGTTAGAGTGTTTGTGCATACGTTTATGACTCTTCACTCACCCTTGTCACCCACGATCTTGTGAGTCTTGCAGAAGAGGCTGCCATGCTGCAGGTCCATGACCTCACCCTTCAGTTTATCCTCCATCACATCAATCAGGCACAGCTCATCGCACAGGTCCTGGTCAACACACGCAAACAAGGCATGTTATGGTTCAGGAATATACTCCATATAGAAAAGTATATGGCTATACTGTACATAAGGGGCCGATTTCCCAGGCACAAATTAGGGCAAAATATTGTCCTAAAAAGCTATTTCACCATTGAATTTGCTTTTTAGTCCTGGACTAAGCTTTATTTGTGTACGGGGAAACAGGCCCTATAGTCTGCTCCATTTTACTAAGACATTTAATGGTGAAATGGTCATCATTTAGTAGTACATTTTGTATTGTTTAACAATATAACCTATATAGAAATGTAGGCATGGTTAAAATGTATTTTCACTGTGTGTTATTTTGACAACTGACCAGGCCCATCTCACACTTAGAGGCCTAAAACCACTTGCCTCCAGTCCATTGTCTCATTCACTCCAGTCTTATGCCAAATAGGCCTATTGATCAACTGGATAAAACAGGCTTCTACAGATTGCTTATAACACAAGGCCTGGATAAAACACACTTGCAAGCCCACCAGTTACCCCCAGCTCTCTCCATTCAGATCACCTCGGCAGATTTGACATGGACTGCACAGTGGACAGCAGAGGTCTATTTCCTGTAAGCCTTTGTTTCCTCACTGGCTTTGGGTGTATCCCTAATGGCACTCTATTCCCTATATAGTGTACTACTTTTGACCAGGGCCCGTAGAGTGTACAAAACATTAGGAACACATTCCGAATATTGAGTTGCACCCTCTTTTGCCCACAGAACAGCCTTAATTTGTTGGGGCATGGACTCTACAAGGTGTCAAAAGCATTCTACAGGGATTCTGGCCCACGTTGAATCCAATGCTTCCCACAGTTGTGTCAAGTTGGCTGAATGTCCTTTGGGTGGTGGATCATTCTTGATATACACGGGAAACTGTTGAGCATGAAAAACCCAGCAGCATTGCAGCTCTTGACACACTCAAACCGGTGCGCCTGGCACCTACTACCATACTCCGTTCAAAGGCACTTAAATCTTTAATCTTGCCCATTCACCATCTGAATGGCACACACACAAAATTAATGTCTCAATTGTCTCAAGGCTTTAAAATCTTTCTTTAACTTGTCCCCTCCCCTTCATCTACACTGATTGAAGTGGATTTAACATGTGACATCAATAAGGGATCATATATTTCACCTGGATTCACCTTGTCAGTCTACAGTATGTCATGGAAAGAGCAAGTGTTCCTAATGTTTTGGGATGCAACCTATCCCAGTGAGGAAACAAAAAAGGGCCCATAGGGCTCTAGTCAAAAGTAGTACACTATATAGGGTATAGGTGTCTTTTGGGATGCAATAGTCAGGAGCCCTGTTTATAACTTTATAGTTCTAACATGAGTCTGTTGTCCGGATCTTCGGATCTCTGCCCACATTTGTCGACAGGAGTAGACAATCAAAAGACACATTGTGATCTGATTGTGACTAGATCGTCCTGACCACCTCCGGAGGTAGCCGAAGATGCATCTTGTACGGATAGCTTTGGAGTGTAAACCAATCCGGATAATGAAAGTGTATACATTTGGCTAACGTCACGGTGTTCCGGCCTTCTAAAAAATGTCACACTGGCCAGTTGAGGTACTAGTTATGGACAAGGATACTTCTACAATGTCTCCAGAATTAAGATCATGGTCTTCATTAAAAACCAACCCACTGGGCACAGACGTCAGTTCAACGTCTAGTTTTGATTTATACTGAAGAAAAATATAAATGTAAAGTGTTGGTCCCATGTTCATGAGTGAAATAAAAGATCCCAGAAATGAACCATACACACAGAAAGCTTATTTCTCTAAATGTTTTTGCACACATTTGTTTACATCCCTGTTATTGAGCATTTCTCCTTTGCCAAAATAATCCATCCACCTGACAGGTGTGGCATATCAAGAAGCTAATTAAACAGCATGATCATTACACAGGTGTACTTTGTCCTGGAAAAAAAAAAAGTTCACTCTAAATTGTGCAGTTTTGTCACACAACACAATGCCACAGACGTCTCAAGTTTTGAGGGAGCGTGCAATTGGCATGGTGACTGCAAGAATGTCCACCAGAGCTGTTGCCAGATAATTTAATGTTAATTTTTCTACCATAAGCCGCCTCCAAGGTCATTTTAGAGAATCTGTCAGTACGTCCAACCGGCCTCACAACCGCAGATTATGTGTAACGACCCCAGCCCAGCCCAGCACCTCCACATCTGGCTTCTTCACCTGCGGGATTGTCTGAGACCAGCCACCCGGACAGCTGATGAAACTGTGGGTTTGCACAACCAAAGATTGTCATCACCAGGGTCTTGACCTGACTACAGTTCGGCATTGTTACCGACTTCAGTGGGCAAATGCTCACCTTCGATGGCCACTGGCACACTGGAGAAGTGTGCTCTTCACGGATGAATCCCGGTTTCAACTGTACGTGTAGGCGAGCGGTTTGCTGAAGTCAAAGTTGTGAACAGAGTGCCCCATGGTGTCCGTGGGGTTATGGTATGGGCAGGCATAAGCTACGGACAACAAACACAATTACATTTTATCAATGGCAATTTGAATACTCAGCGATAGCGTGACGAGATCCTGAAGCCCATTGTCGTGCCGTTCATCCGCCACCATGATCGTGCCATTCATCGGCCGCCATCACCTCATGTTTCACCATGATAATGCACGGGCCCATGTCGCAAAGATCTGTACACAATTCCTGGAAGCTGAAAATGTACCAGTTCTTCCATGGCCTGCATACTAGCCAGACACGTCACCCATTGAGCATGTTTGGGATGCTCTGGATCGACGTGTACGACAACGTTTTCCCGCCAATATCCATCAACTTCGCACAGCCATTGAGGAGGAGTGGGACAACATTCCACAGGCCACAATCAACAGCATGAGGCAAATGGTGGTCACACCAGATACTAGTTTTCTGATCCACGCCCCTTCCTTTTTTAAAGATGCATATCTGCACATACAGGCGTCCTTCCTAACTCAGTTGCTGGAGAGGAAGGAAACCTCTCAGGCCAATGATGACTTTAAAACAGTTACAGAGTTTAATGGCTGTGATAGGAGAACTGAGGACGGATCCTTGTAGTTACTCTACAATACTAACCTAATTGACAGAGTGAAAAGAAGGAAGCTTGTACAAAATAAAGATATTCCAAAACATGCACCCTGTTTGCAACAAGGCACTAAAGTAATACTGCAATAATGGCCTATGTTAAGCTTTTAAAAAAGTACAAAGGGTTTGTTAGGTCTTAAGCCTGTGTTCAAATATACTTAAAATGATTAAAATACAAAAAGTGATTGTGTTGAATTGTGTTTGGGAAATAAAGGTAGACATGGTTTTAAAAAGGTAGTGGTAATATTTCATTCAGTACAGAAATGTGTAGGCGGCTTAACTTACCCTGTTCCGCAGCTAAATTTACCCCCCACGTTGTGCCAAAAGACAACTATGTTTTCAAAACTGTAATGTTTACATGAATTCTGATTTATGTCTAGGGATACACGACATCCTGAAGTATATGTACAGTGCCTTCGGAAAGTATTCAGACCCCTTGACCTTTTCCAAATTTTGTTACGTTACAGTCTTATTCTAAAATAGATTACATAAATACAAATCCTCAGCAATCTACACACAACACCCCATAATGACAAAGTGAAAACAGTTTTTTAGAAATTTTACCAAATGTATTAAAAATAGAAAACAGGAATACCTTATTTATATAAGTATTCAGACACTTTGCTATGAGACTAGAAATTGAGCTCAGGTGCATCCTGTTTCCATCAATCATCCTTGAGATGTTTCTACAACTTGATTGGAGTTCATCTGTGGTAAATTCAATTGATTGGACATGATTTGGAAAGGCACAACTGTCTAAATAGGTCCCACAGTTGACAGTGCAGGTCAGAGCAAAAACCAAGCCATGAGGTTGAAGGAATTGTCCGTAGAGCTCCGAGACAGGATTGTGTCGAGGCACAGATCTGGGGAAGGGTACCAAAAAAATTCTGTAGCATTGAAGGTCCCCAAGAACACAGTGGACTCCATCATTCTTAAATGGAAGAAGTTTGGAACCACCAAGACTCTTCCTACAGCTGGCCTTCCGGCCAAACTGAACAATCGGGGGAGAAGGGCCTTGGTCAGGGAGGTGACCAAGAACCCAATGGTCGCTCTGACAGAGCTCTAGAGTTCCTCTGTGGAGATGGGAGAACTTTCCAGAAGGAAAGCTATCTCTGCAGCACTCCACCAATCAGGCCTTTATCGTAGAGTGGCCAGACGGAAGCCACTCCTCAGTAAAAGGCACATGACAGCCCGCTTGGAGTGCCAAAAGGCCCCTAAAGACTCACAGACCATGAGAAACAAGATTCTCTGGTCTGATGAAACCAAGATTGAACTCTTTGGCCTGTATGCCAAGCGTCAAGTCTGGAGGAAACCTGGCCTCATCCCTATGTTGAAGCATGGTGGTGGCAGCATCATGCTGTCGGGATGTTTTTCAGCGGCAGGGACTGGGAGACCAGTCAGGATCGAGGCAAAGATGAACGGAGCAAAGTACAGAGACATCCTTGATGAAAACCTGCTTCAGAGGGCTCAGGACTTCAGACTGTGGTGAAGTTCACCTTCCAACAGGACAACGACCCTAAGCACACAGCCAAGACAACACAGGAGTGGCTTCAGGACAAGTCTCTGAATGTCCTTGAGTGGCCCAGCCAGAGCCTGGACTTGAACCTGATCGAACATCTCTGGAGAGACCTGAAAAGAACTGTGCAGCTACGCTCCCCATCCAACCTGACAGAGCTTGAGAGGATCTGCAGAGAAGAATGGGAGAAACTCCCCAAATACAGGTGTGCCAAGCTGCCAAAGGTGCTTCAACAAAGTACTGAGTAAAGGGTCTGAATACTTATGTAAATGTAATATTTCAGCTAATCTTTTTTTTATTAGCAAACATTTCTAAAAACCTGTTTTTGCTTTGTTATTATGGGGTATTGTGTGTAGATTGATGAGGGGGAAAAAAACAAAAGTAAAAGTTCAGAATATGTCCAAACTGATGTGCATAGCTTTCTGTGTGTATGCCTACTTTTGGTTTCACACTTTATTCCTTTATAAAGTCATAGTATTTGCTTTACATGCATGACCCTTTCCATTAAAAAAAAATCTATTCTCACTTTTATCAATTTTCATAATTTGACCACGCGTCTTGCTATAGGTTATCGCATTAGAGGTTCTTCGAAATACAAATGTTTGGTATGCTAATTCTTCTTAAGACCTGCCTAAACACAACCAATGCACCTAGGCCTACAAAGCTGGTTTACTGTTTTTAAAACAAGAGGATATATGAAATAATATTTATTTCTACGGCTGTGGACAGGTCGAGGATATTGGGACAGTAGCCTATTACACCCAGTCTTAAATTGTTGGATAACAAATTTAGGCTGTGATGATGAGAGTGTAAAATTATTGACCATAAAAGTGTGCTGTTTTCTGTCGATTTATAAAGCTTGTGTCATAATGAGAGGTCCAAGGCAGCTTGCATTAATTTGCATACAGGGAGTGACCAGGGATTTTGGTCACAATACGGATGCAGTGGGCAGATAAGAGACACATTTTATTATCATGTATAGACGCAACAAATCTCGATCAGATAGTGTTCGGATCATCTTGATCGGATGACGACAACTACATCCCACTGGGCACAGACCTCCAATCAATGTCTATTCCATGTTGGTTCAATGTAATTTTCACAATGATTCAACCAGTGTGTGCCCAGTGGAATGTTAATGCAAGGTGTAACGACAGCTAAAGTGTAAAAACGTATATCAATGTTTCTGACACGCCCCGGGGTAGAGAGAACTGGAATCCATCAAACATTTCCAGAATGTACTTCACTTATCAGCTTCACTTCATTTACCCTGTTTTCTCTGGCTGGTGGTATATAAGACAAAGCCAGGCTGAATACAGAGGGGTTGGGTTTTAGACCAGAGATCTTGGAGCCCTTGAACAGATTCCTGTGTTATTTTCTCTAATCTTCTCTCATACCAGTTAGAACAGTGGAGGTGATGGCCTGAGTCATGTTCATTAGGGCACGGCCCAATTTTTTTTTTTTTTACATTTTAGAACAGAAAACAAGGTCCTATTGGACAAGTCCATGCAGTCCCTCTGTGTTTAGGTATGTATTTTTCCGTTTGGTACCTAATGAACACGACCCTGGATATTGTGTCCTAGTCATGCCTGTCTAACTTCATACGTACATTCATTTTCATGCACTTTACCTAAACACCCCTTACCTCTGTCCTCTACCGCCCTCATTCCCACTGCCTACACCAATGCTTCACCCCTTATGAAAAAATATTGCAGTCAGACTGCAGTAAGCTGCAAATACTGCATCCAAAATAACTGTTTTTTTACTGCAGCAATTTTGCAATGAAACTGCAGTTACAGTGCAGTTATTCTGCAAGTTACAGTTATTCTGCAAGTACTACGTCCAACATATCACAGTCGACTACAGTTACTGCACTTTTACTGCAGTTTCAAAACTGCTCTCTTTTTTTGTAAGTGAGTCCCCCCACCCCACCCCCTCCATCGGTCTCACCTTGAGCAGGACGCTGACTGCGGAGGCCATGCCAACCATGCCGACGCCAACCACTGTCACCTTGCTCCGGGAGCCAACAGGCTCACCAGCCAACACATGGGTGATCAGCTTCTCCTTGGTAGTCATCTGAAAGACAGAGAGACCCAGAGACCCAGAGACCCAGAGAGAGACAGAGAGACAAAGACAAAAAGGGAGACAGAGAGAGAGATAAAGAAACGGGGTCAGAGCAATACTGTAACCTATCCCATTAGTTTACCCTCAGTACATCATCGCAGAGAGCAAGAAACAGCACTGTGCTCTGGAGCCTATTTTCTCTTCAACTACTGCTAAAATGAATAGAAAGTCAAAGAGTCAACTCTCAAAACAATTCATTCATTGGTATATATCATTCACCTCTCCACCATGCCAGCTGATGTTTGGTGAGGATTCTGGCATCCACACGTTGTTAGTGGATGAGGTGTTTCCCCCTTATTTTGTAAAACACTTTCAATACCTCAGTTGGTAGAAAGGTGCTATATAAATCCAATCAATTATGATTATTATTTACTATTTGTCCAGTGTTTGTGTCAGCTCAGAGGCAGCTATGAAGTGAATATTAATGTCCGTTTTTTTTAAAAATGAAAGCATGAGCATTCTTATCTTGTCCATTCCCCACATTGTTTAGTAACATGGCATTTTACCTAATTTCCTTTCCTTTTATCATATTCAAATCATATACTAATGTCTTGGTTGCTAACAGCAAGTTATATCATCCCACTCTGTGGCCCAGCATAAAATCTCCTATTTGACCAACAGCAACGCTGGGTCTCCATAGCAATGCCTATCTCTCTCCAGCCCCCTTCTGCTCCTGCCTCCGGTTGCCCTGCCTAACTGACCACAAAATATTATGGGGAGGCAATGGTGTCATGACATGGCCGCTATTTTTACTTCCTGGTTTGGAGAGAATGAGGGTAAAGGGCCTGTTTACATCACATTTACATTTTAGTCATTTAGCAGACGCTCTTATCCAGAGCGACTTACAGTTAGTGAGTGCATACATTTTTCATACTGGCTCCTGTGGGAATCGAACCCACAACCCTGGCGTTGCAAGCGCCATGCTCTACCAACTGAGCTACAGGAGGCCACATCAACTTGATGACCCAGCTACTCCAGCGTTCCGGAGTTCAGCTATGGCAATTTAGGCTCCAAATTTCCACCCTGTTAGGTTCCACCCCGTTAGGATTATGCACCTAACAGGGTGGACATTTTGTTAGAAAAGATAGTAAATAAATGACTAATGTCAATATTTATTTATATTTGCATAATCTATTTTTATTTTAAGTAAATTATTTTGATACATATTTGGTGCTAATTACATTATATTTACTAATTACAGTTGCATATGTATATAAAGCCTAATATAAGTAATTGTAATGAAATTTATATATATATATATATATATATATATATATATATATATATATATATATATATATATATATATATATATAAATAATAATTATCTATGTTCATGTTGTTTTACAAACTCAGGTTGACAATGTTATTAAAAAGACAGAAAAATGAAATAAATAGAAAGTGATGTAAACTCATGCACAATATTCATTCTTATTATAGGTGTAATATTTTTCAACCATGTGACAGATGTAAAAGTAAATATATTTAATTGTTTAAATCTTGTATTCATTATTGGTAGTTCCACCCCGTCCATCCTGTTAGGACAGTATTTAAATATAATAATTTAACAATACCATCAAATGTTATGCATATTTTTGTGCTAACTTGTAGAGATAGAAGAGGTCAACTAAACATTCGATTGATATTCAATCTTATTTGGAAAAATAGGGTGCAAATAAAGCGCTGGTTCTGAAAATAATGTGGAATGTGTGTTTCATGACGCTCTAGTGAAGTGGAACTAACCTTCCACAGAGTTGCATTATTTTCCAGAGAACGCATAGAGCCCTGAGTTGATTTTCCCTTTTATACCATGGCAATAATTGAACATCCACAGAAGGGGCTAGCAAGTTTACTAGATAGCTAGAGTAGTTGCTTTGGTAACCAAACAATAAGATTTGCTAGTTTAAATAACCAAACCACCAGTCCTAGCTTGCTATTATGATAATCTAATTCAACAATCAATAATGTTTACAATTCAACTCTTGCTTTCAAAAGCAGCTGAATAGAACATGTAAGAATGAACTATAGCCATTGAATTCTGCCATGCTGATATACCGTGCATTACAGGGAAATAATGCACACTCTAGAATGCCCTTCAAGCCAATCAGAAACAAGCATTCAACAATGCCATGGTATAATTAAGCATTAAGGCCAATGGGGTGTGGTATATGGCCAATATACCAAAGCTAAAGACTGTTTTTATGCTCGACGCAACGTGGAGTGCCTCAATACAGCCCTTAGCAGTGGTATATTGGCCATATACCACAAACCCCTGAGGTGCCTTATTGCTATTATAAACTGGTTACCAACGTAATTATAATAATTTTGGGTCATACCCATGGTATATGGTCTGATATATCATGGCTGTTAGCCAATTCAGGGCTCGAAGCACCCAGTTTATAATAGGATTTAAGTGCCTGAGCTTGACCACTAAAAGTCAAACATGTCTTTTCTTCTGATAGAATACCTCAAAAACAGAAAAATAGATACTTTCCTCCACAAAAGTTATGAGGTCCAAAAGGCACGCAAAGTAGGAATGACGCATCCAATTACTTGATCACAAAATCTGATGTTGTCTCACCTTGAAGGTTTAGTGATAGTGATGTGGAAACAACACTGAGAAGCGAGTTGGAATATCTTCGGCTGGCCTTTTCTTCCCTGGCTGGATGCAGCTTTTCTGCAGCAGTGGAGCACATGTGGGAGGTTCCCGGTATTTAAGTAGCTCAGAGGTGCCCGGTAGACGTTGCGCGATTACATCTGAATCACACTAGACCTGTCAGGGTTAAATGTCATGTCCATGCAGAGCAAATGTGATGACTATGCGCCACGATCAGTTATTGTGTCTCTGCATAGACTATTCTGTGCTATTGCCCAAGTGCATCATCAAAGTAATCTCTCCAGTAGCCCTACTTTACTCTTGAACAGTAGCCTTTTATAGTGTGAGGATATCATTTTGGGTCCATCTTGCGCTCTATTTCATCACACTGAAACCTAGTCATATCACATAAACAGAGAAATGTCACCAAACAAGATATCCCAGGATGCCTCATACACATCCGTAGGCTACACATCCTGTGTGGTCCCTGTTGTCGGTATTGCATTATGCTCTAGTGTTCTAAAAGGGCTGTTGCTGCTGTCACTATAACATGATCAGGGTTGGGGAGTAACCGATTACATGTAATCACATGTAATCAGTTACATGTAATCGAATTACAAAATAACTGTAATCTGAGGCGTCATACCCATTGGGGGCATAGGGGCACATGCCCCCTCAGAATTGTCCTGTTTAATGTATTTATTAAAAAATGTTGTTGCTGTTTCTCTGTAGTAATAATAGCCACCTAGCAAAATTAATGATGTTGGTTTTAGCTAGCCCAGATAGGTTCCCAATCTTCCAACCTCATAACTTGTTACGAAAAAGCCATTTCAAGATATCAATCAAGTTAGCGTAGCTAGCTTGTCTAACTGGCATGCTTGCCCGCAAGGTTGGTAGACTTTAGAAAAGCAAACAATAACTAAATTTACTGAATAAGATTCCTTTTAATCTGTTACCCAGATCTTAGCAGAGATGCAAAGAAGCATATTTAGTTTCTTAAAAAAAAGAAACACAAGTCAGGAGGATACATACAGCTCAAGAGGAATGCTTAAATATTCAGAAAAATAGACAATTTTTTTACATAGAATTAAGCATAATGAAAATGACTCTAGATTGCAGAAAAAAACTGTTTCAGGTGTTTTAAAAAAATGCTAAGTTCTCCAACTGGCGGCCTAGCCATTCTGATTTTTGGGTGCATGTAATCAGTTACGTTACCAGCTAAAATATTGTCATCAGATTACAGATCTTTTTTAAATTCAGAAATGATATTTGCAAAAAAAATACATTATGACGCCTTTCTGTTTTCTGAATGACATTCAATTCAGTATTGAAAAAAGGCTCAAGTTGAAGTTTGTTCCATCTGAGTGAGTCTAACCACAAGTCAGAGACCGCTATGATGACACACCAAATGCGTTTGATGGATCCTTTCTGTGTTCTTCTACAGCCTCTTAAACAGAAAGTAATAAGGCGGTGTCAGAGGAAGGCCCTAAAAATTATCAAAGATTCCAGCCACCTTAGTCATAGACTGTTCTCTCTACTACCGCACGGCAAGCGGTACCGGAGCGCCAAGTCTAGGTCCAAAAGGCTTCTTAACAGCTTCTACCCCCAAGCCACAAGACAACAAGACAACTGAACAGCTAATCATGGCTACCCAGACTATTTTACTGCTGCTCTTTAATTGTTTGCTATTTTAATTTTTTTCTTAAACTGCATTGTTGGTTATGGGCTTGTAAGTAAGCATTTCACTGTAATGTCTACACCTGTTGTATTCGGCACATGTGGCAAATACAATTTGATTTGATTTGATTACATCACTGCGTTTGGGTAATCCAAAATTAGGTAACTGTAACAGATTATATTTAGAAAGTAACCTACCCAACCCTGTACATGATGCATACATTGCCTAGTCTACAACCCACTGCCCCACGTGATAAAATGGATAGAAAAGAGCCATAGCCGTGGCGGAATCCCAATAGTTATAATAACAACACTATACATGGAATGTGTTGTCCTTCCTTCTCTCATGATAATTTTTGTATGAGGGCTAACGACGTGAGAGGTTTAGGATAACTGACTGTGTGGGGGACACCTCATCTGCCACCTGTGATTCATAGCCTACCTCCTCCTTTAAGGGATGTGACTGAGTATAATCTAACTCAATGTCTCCCCCTTGTGACTTTTGCTAAGAAATGCAGTTGACATCATTGAGTACAGTTACATGCACACAATAATACGATTATTGTGAATAGTCAGATTAATATAATAGTTTTATTTAAACATTTACATGCTTTGCAAGAAGAACAATTTGTTATATTCCTGTTTACATGGACACATCTGAAATCAGGCTACATGATGA